CAGTAAAGTCCAGAGCTTCAGACCCAGACCCCTCCTCCTCCTCATCATCCTCCTCCTCCACACTCCACATTAAACACAGCTGACCCTGCGAAACACACTTCGAGGAAAAGCTGCTCAAAGTTTCATTAACACCAAACATACAAAATCGTATTTATGCACAGTTTATGCATGTTTAGGGTTATTAGAAATGCATAAACAGATTTATTTTTTCTCATAAAAGCCTCCATATGGGGTCAGTCAGACCGTTGCACTAAAGCCAAGATAATCCTCTCTGGAGCTATGATGACTCAGATGGTATGCCAGTAGTTAAGGTACTTTCAGGTGTTCCTGCATTTTAGAAGAGTTACAATAAATTCCCAGCACTCACACACACACACACACACACACACACACACACGCACAACCCCCCTTCATGGGGCCCCTACCCTGACCCCCTCTAGATCTAAGCCCCACTAAGCCTTGAATGAATCAGTCTGGACTTGCTCGGTTGTCTGTCTGACCCTGCCTGCTAATGAGAGACGGACCATCTGTTGCCCACCAGATACGTGCTACCCTAAAGTTGTCACATACGCAATGAAAACAGCACACAGCGTCAATGAAGTCGGTCACACGCTGGTAACTGTCGTCAAAACTTGAAAACACCCACTGCAGATTCATCAGATCAGAATGGACAAAATCACACTGACTTGCACCATCACTGTATTTCAGTTTTTACTTTATGAAATTATTGGCTCTGACTTCCTTCCATTTAATGTACGCTGAAATTCTGAGGAATTGTGTGCTGTGAGGGTTAAATCTGAGTGTGAAGCATGTGCGTTGTGGGAAATGAAACTGCGTAAATGATGCACACAATAACACACATAAAAAAGAGGCAGTAGCACAATAACAAGCGTGGACAGCTCGACTGTTGCCACAACACTGACCAAAGTATATATATGCTCTGCCCAAACAATATGGACACATTAAATACTGTGTAAAATGTAATATACATATGAACACATCCTGCTGTTTAACAAAAACAAATACAGGATGTATTTCCTGTACTCAAGTTATAGTTAGTAACCTGCTGACATACAGAATGTGTGAGTGCTGACCTCTCATATTTATAACTGTCGTTCGGACACCAGCATCCTCCAGCTTAACACACTAATACCACACACACACACACACACGCTAATACACACATCACAATGCCAGCTTGATCCCAGTCATGCGTCCTGGCTAATACTGCAAGCCCTGCCTGAGCGGGAAAAGGAATAGAGAAGTTTCTGAGTGTGTGTGTGTGTGTCACAGAGCAGCCAAACCATAAAAACAAACCAAATCAAAGAGGGTGCTGCTGCACATATGCCTCGTACCAACCCACCCTGAGCACACACACACACATTGCCACATACACACACCCATCTCCATATGGTGCGATAAGTTTCTGCCCCAGTTACGCGAGCTGCTCCTGTGGTGTTGCTGCTCTGGGATGGACACTCGGGTGACAGGGACAATGCACGCAGTATTGACTTTTCACACCAGTTCTATTATGTGACCTAATTAGCCCCAAGATCACAATATGAGCCTCTACAGAGCTGCAGCCGGCTAGACAACTTGACATGCTGGGGGTCACCCAAGTGTGTAAACACCATCTTAAGAGGTGGACTGAATGAGGGGAAGACTGCGACCTGGATTTTGGAGAAAAGAGAAGTGTGGTAGTTTGTGAATTGTGCAATTTGAGACAAAAAGAAAGGACTGGTGTACATTAATGTCCCTCCAATAGTGTCTTGTAATATCAGTGGTTACAGGGTTACTAAATAAACCAAGTGTGCTGCAAAGGATCTGAAAATTCTTCAGCTACGCCACATAGAAACTTGAAAAATCGATTGATATTTCATAAACATCCCAGAATTATACAACTGAAACCCGTATAGTCATCTACAGGCACATTAAACAGGTCAAAGGCTGAAGAACTAGTCTTAGCCGGATGAATGAATCACTGAGCAATCACCAAAACACATGACAAGCATGGATCAAAACTTTAGAAACACTAACACGTCACGGAGCATCAGCATGAAACGTGCACTTCTCTGTTCAAAAAGTCAAGAAAGAGGAAGGAGGAGTGCTAACGCAGCTTTCTTACTTTTTTTCAATGGAAAACACACCATCATCGAAACTCTCTGTCACCCCCCCTCTTCTTCCTTTGTCCCTGTTTTCCCTTTATAAAATCACTTCTGCATTTCCAGCAAATGACCTGCTGAGGTTATTGAACTACCCTGCTGGTTATTGTAAGCCAAACGGGTGTGAGGCAGCGGCTAATATTCCCTCTACTGGAGTTTTGATTGATCGCCCCACGGCTTAATTATATTGCCTTATCACTGACTGAGAGAGGAGAGTGTGAAAGAACACTGCAGATTTCTAAAATGCAGTAAGAGCAGGAAAATGGACTGTGATAACCCACCAAGATGTGAGGATTCGTCAACACTCTCACTTCTGTGTAGCTGGGTTCAAATGTGGTCAAGCCCTTTGTTATTCCTGCTTGTGACACCATCTTGCAACATCTGAAAAGTTAAATTTAAAAGATGCATTTTCGCTATATTATATTTTTCTTTGTGATTTATCATCATTACTTTCAATCCAGTGTCCAGAGTCTCATTGTCCTCAGTGGACTGCTGATGGTAACTGACACCTCAGCACTACTTCGTCGTCTCTGACCTGAACTGTGGACTTGACAGCTGTGTTACTGCACAGCAGGCAGATTACAGGAAGGTCATCAGTCCAATCGCTGCCTTTATGACTGGCATGGTTTCATAACCTTATGCAGGTAGGCAAAAAGAAACCCCTGACAGCAGTAAAGGCAAAGTCTCCTCCAAGCCAGCGGGAGCCAGCTGTTAGACTGACAATATAACGCGTGGAGAGGTCATGCAATCATTGCTGTTTATTACAAGAAAGGCTCTGCATGTAACACTTGAAGTTTTGTGTGATTACCCTCTGATGGCTGTGTTTATTCTTACCTAACTTTACTGAAGGTATTTACCCCTCCATATAATGACCCTCATTGCCCTGTAGCCAAAGCTGTGAGGGCAATCACAGTGTAATACGGTAAAAACAGTCACATGGATGAGAGCGATGCATGTAAGCTGAGCCTCACTTTGGCGATAGCATCCAGAGAGTGTCAGCGTCTGCGAGCTAACCTTCAGTCTTCATAGCCATTGGAACAATTGGCGGAAACAGAGCTGTGAGACAGGAGGTCACGTCATCCAGGATGTCAGATAGGCAGCAAGAGTGATGATCTCCCAACACTTAGACTCAGAATATACACAGCAGCACAATAAGATCGTGATTGGACAGAAACTGGGTTGCTTTAATAGTCACAATAACAGGGTTCTGGGTTAAAAATCTCACAGATGATCAGTACTGGGGTTCAGTGTTCAATGGGATCCCATTTCTGCCAATGTGATGGAATAAAAAGATAATGTAAGCCATTATAATGACAAAGTTTCTCATGATAATAACAAAGTATCTCAAAATAATGACTTAATATCTTAAAATAATAAGTTAGTGTCTCAAAATAATGAGAATTTTTCTTCAAAATATATACTTATATAAAAAAATGACTCATTTTTATTATAAACTTTCTCGTTATATTGATTTACAGGATGTTTTTATTTCATCACAAGGCTATTTTTTTTTTTTTTACTGGTAGAACTGGGCCTCCACAACATGCAGTGTCTTGCTCAGGGACACTTCAGCCAGCTGGTTCTCTGACCTCAATATCTCTGCTCACTAAATCTCAACGTGCCAAAAAATATTCTCACTTCACCCTTAATACCACAAGTGTGCACATGCAAACAATTAGCCACAACTAAGCTGGAATAAGCTGTCGCTGCAGGTCGTTTTCTGGTAATCGCACTGTTATGAGGAATCTTGTTATGAGAAAACAAACATATGTACTGCATGCTGATATGAAGCGTAATATGTGAGCCACAGTTTTTTGGAGGGGGTTTTGTGCTCTGCTGGTGGCTGACACATATTATTGTAAAGTTCTTAAGAAAAATGAGTAATGCCTCTTCTGTGAACTGTGTGACCAGTCAGCAAAACTGTGCATGCACCCACACACACACACGCACGCACGCACGCACGCACGCACACATGCACATAAAGTGACCAATAAGCGGTAGTTACAGTGAATTACTGCTTTGCACAAGAGGTCAGCTGTCCTGTCTGTGTCACCAAAGGTTACTGTCTAGTTTGCAATATTAGGAGGCGACTTGTTGCATAAAACTTCAACGAGAGGTCAAGCAGAGGAACTAAAATGTAATAATTTGAGAAATGACAAACCAATCACTGATCGATCTCTGAGCCGGGCACAAGTTGTAAATGTCTCTGATTTCAAAATGCACTTCACTTACTGTACATGACACTGGTGGTTTATGTTGGACGTGTAAACCACAGGATGGATGATGTGTCACTGCCAGTTAACTGTCCGTGTTACTGCCAGAACTACTGAGTCTACAGGAGCCATGAATTTGCTGTGACTTGTAGTCAAACACCTTTTTCTCTCTCTGTGTCTAAAACATGCACAAACACTCTTCCTATCACTCTCCCCTGTGTCTCACAATCACCACAGACCAACAAACAGACCTTGGAAGAGTCACAAACACTGCCTGTCTCTCTGCACCTCAACTTACATCTTTAAATATTTACAATTCCGAGCTTCTTTTCTCACTGGATTGTTTAATTACTTTCAGTCTTATTCCTTTGACTGCTCCAAACACTTTACACTCCACTTCCCATTCCCATCCTTGAGTCTGTCAAAACTGACCAAACCTTTGACACCAAACAACACCTCACCCACTCCAAACAACAGAAGGCACAGGAAGGCCATGTGAGCGAAGGCCAACATCTGCCAGATTGTTTAACAAGACTGGAAGTACCTGTGCTTCCCAGAAATGAAACAGCAAAAATCAACAAACAGCAGGAGGTGGACAGACATAATTATTCTGCCATGTACTGACCCAGTGGCGGGGGCTGCTCTCCGGGGAACGAGGTTGGTACCTCTGCAGGGCGACACCTCCTTCCCCCTCCAGCAGCAAGGAGCAGTCCAGGTCTGGGCAGTGGTAGCTGGGACTCGTGGGCCAGGGCAGCAGGGTGGCCAGAGGGTATTGGGAGATCATGCTGACCCCCTGGATCAGCGGCAGGGGTGACAGGGCATACTCCAGTCTGGATGGAGACGTCTTCAGTACAGCAGGGCTCTTCAAGTGTTGATGATGAAGATGAAGAGGCTCCTTTAGGTCTTGATTGTTTTGGTCCTCTCTCCTCAGTCTGTGTAGACTTGCCTTCAGCTCAGAGGTGTCACAAATGATGAACTCCCCTCTCAAGTTGTCCACCTCAGTGTTTTCCCTTCCTGTTTCTCTCCTTTCTCCCCACCACACAAAGTTTCTATCCTCTCCTCTTCTGTTTTTTTTTCTTCCTCTCTCTCAGTCTGCGCGCGTGGAACTTGGCTTGCCAACAGCTCTCAACCACATGAGTGATTAAAGTCTATTGTCTCTCCCTCTTTCTCCTTCTCTCTCACCCCCTACGTTCATCCCAGCCAGAAGGGGAGGAGTTATAACTAAGTGGCCCAGCCCCCCTACTTAAAAAACTACCCACTGACTGAAGATAGTTTGACTGTGGAAGAATGTGGAGAGAAGGAAAGAAAGGCAGGAAAGCTGAGATAGAGAGGAGGATGTTTTGGAAGAGGATCGAAGAAATACTAACAATAGAGGATATTTTCCATGAAGGATTGACTTCTAGCCTCGTTCATATCATGCTAATTCCCAAACTGCGCTCATTGAAGCTTCAAACACATTTCAACTCTCATTCTGATTGCTCTGAGTCATTTCCATCGCTGGATCCTGCCGTAATGTGTCCCTGAAGACATTTAAAACACTCCAAATTGCCACCAAGACTGGTTCAGGCAGTCCCGTGTTGGTAAAACATGACACACAGACTTTTATTTCGCATTAAACTTAACAAGCTCAGGTGTTTAGAGATGCAGGTGATGGCTTCATAAAGTTACTGATTCAGCTCCCGGTGCGGCTCGGTGACATTTGTGACAGCAGGGCAAAGGTCAAACCATAATAAATGTGTAACAATTATGGAGAGCATGCATGCGTGCGCGTGTGATTGAGTTCAGGGCAGGAATAAGAGCCAGTCATGTGTAAAACACCGCAGTTGCTGAGGAGAGGATTATCTGGGACCAGGCAGTGCTCTGACACACACACACACACACACACACACACACGCTTTTACACATATTCAGCAGTTAATATTGTACAAAGTGTGAAGAAAGTTGCTCTCTACAGTTGGGAGCTGCAGTGTGCATCCTGTTTTCTCAGGTAAATAAACAGCCACTGGAAAAACACTTATGTCAGGGGGACATCCGGTCAAGTTGCTTCATAGCAGACGGCCGTGGATCGACACACACTGTACTGTACTTAAGTTCATTTCTGATGTACTTTACATGAGTATTTCCACTTGCTACTACATACTCCTACTCCACTACCTTAAGGGAAATATTGTACTTCAAATACATTGATTGATAAGTGCAGTGATTTTACAGATTCAGATTTTACACAAATAAACACATGATAAAGTTATACAATATGACGTGTTGTTAAAGATTGAACCAGTAACTCTGAATCATTTTTGGCTTTTTGCTCATTAGGTAGCCTAATCTGGATGTTTTACTTTCCAGGAGGGAACAGTATTGCATCCACCAATCATGGAGTGAATATAGACTATGACTTGAAATGTTATGTGTAATGTAACCCATGGTGCTGAGGTGTGAGGTGGTCAGGAGACCAGCAGAGGAAAAGGAGCAGGAGGGGGTATATTCCTGGATAAGGTCAGGGAGATAGGTGGGGGGTAGGTTGTGAAGGGCTTTGAAGGTGAGCCGAAGGTTTTTGTAATCATAGTTGATTGTGATGTTCTTTTATGCCTTTATTAGACAGGACAGACCAAGCATAAAAGGGGGAGAAAGGGGGGATGACATGCGTCAGGGGGCTGGGGGCTGGAATCAAACCTGTGGTTGCTGCAGCAGGGATGGTGCCTTTATACATGGTGTGCCTGGGCCACTGGGGACCCCTCATCTGATGCTTTAAACTTTGCTATTTCTCTATTAGAAATCTACATAGCTGTTATGTATTATGTATGAATATAGTGAACCAAAGCTTGCATGTTAAACTGAAATCTGAGGCTGTTGTCATTTGTTTTGAAGTAATCTGATTGGCTGTAGCTCCTGTCACTCTCTTTGTTCAAAGGTTTAGCAGTGTTGAAGGGCTCTTGCTTGGTTTTGGTGTAGCATAATTACCTAACCAGCTCCAGGTGTGTGACAAGGCCTATATAACAGATCAGTGTGCCTGTGTCTGATTGTGATCTTTGATCTTGAAGACGGCTTGAGGGCTGAATGAAAGAGAAATGCATGTGCAGCCAGGGTGTGCGACACTAGTTTCTTATGCCAGTGATCAGCACTTTAGTACAATCCTTAGTGTGCTATACTTTGTTATATATTATATAGTTCAGGCCCCTTTTCACTCTTCACATGTCTAATAACAGCTGAGACAGTTCACCCTTTCAACTTCTCACATAGCTTTATTTAAATAACTGACGAGCCGATCCAAATATCACAAAAAAATAAAAGATTTGACAAAAAAAATACAAAAAATGAATACAATGAACTCTGATTTTTCTTCTCTCCTACTCCATTATTCGTCTCACTCTGATTCATCTAAAACCAGCTCCATCTCAACCAGCTGCATCAGTAAAATGCTGTTTACACACAGTTGCATCAGTATTAACAATCTGATAATGTCACACATAATCAGAGTCAATTTTCTGCAAAAACTTAGCTGAAATACTTGTTTCTGATATTACCTCTGTTCTTCTGATCAAGAAGAATTTTAAATGCAAGGCTTTCACTTGTGACAATTTTTTTGGTTCTCTTAATTAAAGGTCCAGTGTGTGGAATTCGGGGGGATATTGGCAGAAATGGAATATAACATGATAAGCATATTTTCTTTGTTTAAAATCATCTCAAAATAAGAGTTGTCATGTTTTTGTTTCCTTATAATGAGCATTTATATCTACATAGAAAGCAGGTCCTGTTCTATAGAATCCATCAGTTTCTAGAGTAGCCCAGAATAGCATTGTAAAAACATAAATTTTCAACTTGAAACTGTTTTATTCAGTGTTTTTACAGGTTTAAATTATCAGGTCTTTTTGTTTTTGGGAGGAAGAAACCTCTGCAAATAATTCGGCTTCCAGTAAAAACCTTCTGAACATCTGGATCTTAAGTTATCAGAGAAAAAGGTGGGTACATATGGCAAGTGCTAGACTAGTGTCCCATCTCAGACATGTTGAAGAAACACTGATTTGTAATGTGAAACTGCTTTATTCAGTGTTTTTACTGGTTTTAATCACCTGCTGTTTTTGCTTAGGAGAGGAGGAGACCTCAGCAGATAATTCAGCTCCTGGTAAAAACCTCCTGAGCATTAAACACTTAAAGAATTCTAACCAGGAAAAGTTTCAGCAATTTGGTCACAATTTGCAATCCTCACTGCTAGACACCACTAAATCCCCCTAAATCTTACACACTGGACCTTTAAGTAAAAGCTGTGTCACCACTAGTCCAACATGTCTTCCACTGCTGGCAAACACACCAGCAGACTCTTCATTGAATCACCAGCAGCTCGGTAACAAAGAGAAAACACTGCTGTAGCATCAAGAAGCTTCTGCTGAGACGTGAGCTATGTTGCGGCTGTGATTCAGATCTCCATTCTGACTCAACGTGACAAAATTCCTTTGGAGCCTTACCACACAAAAATGCAATGAGACTCCACCTAAAGTATGTTTATATATAGCAGTGACTCGTGGTTGGATGTCATGGATAAAAAAAAACATCAAACATTAAAATGCCTCTGTAATCAGAGCAGATAAATCAAGTGTCTGAAGAAGGAAACAAGTCAGTTGACCGTGACTCTTGGTGACTGTGAGCCTGAGTGACTGCCAGGAATGAATGGGAGCATGATACTCAGGAAGAGTGAGTAAACACGTTGCCTTGTCTTTTCGCTGTCTGCATGGACTTCCAGTGAACTAGCCTTCCCTCTCTGCCTTCCTCTCCCCCCTCCTTCCTCCATTTCCTCTCTCTGTTGTTAAGAGATCCTTCTCTAAAAGACCACTGCTCACTTCACTTCGCTGCTCTTTAGCCCAGTTTGGTGGTCTTCACGGACTGATGCCTGACATGTTGCCAAAGGTGTTTTAATATGTCAAATATAAGAAACTGAACATAGGAAAAAGAGAGAACATGAATCTATTCCTTTCTATAACTTTCAGTGTAACTCATCTTCATTGTTCCGTAAAATTAGAGTTCAAGAAAATCACTTTTCTTGCTTTTCTCCTCTGCCTCGGTCTGACTGTGCTGACACAGTCGCAGTGTGGCCAGCACCAGTTTACACAGCTGGGGAGCCAAAGCTCTCTAAACTCTGACAACACACACACACACACACACACACACACACACACACACACACACACACACACATATACACGCACGCTCAAGATCCTCTCAGTCTGGGTCAGCACAAACAAAATCTCTTGCTCTCATTTCTCCCTCACACAAGCGGTGGCACACAAAAAGAGACATCTCTATTGAACACAGTGGTAAAAACCGGAGAATCATATGCTGAGATTAAACATAAGATTTTAAAAAAACAGTGGTGGAAGAAGTATTCAGATCCTTTCAAAGTAATCCAGCAATACCACAGTGACAAGTAAAGGTACAAATGTATTATCAGCCTCGATTAGTGTTGTAATGTTATATACAATATTATTAGATATTTTTCACTGAGGTATTATTGTGTAAGCACCATTTTAAAGTTGTAGCTGGTTTAGATAGACTACTACTTCACATAGCCTACTGTTGGCTCATTTGATTTATAAAAATGTATCATGTTTTAGAGGCTGATCAAATGTTTTGTGTGAATGTCTTAATCCCAATTCAGCTCAAAGATTCACAACGAGACGAGTTCAAACAAGCAGCTACTTGCAATGCGCTATTCTGCAACGTTCTTAAAACCGGTCAGTTCACACCAGTGCAACGACATGAGACAATGTATCATCTCTATGCAGCAACTCT